CTCCGATGGCTAAAGGTCTTACGGGAGTTGAGATAGGTGTGGTTCAGCGGGCGGGTCGGGGCTCTGGCGGCTGCGGCGCATTGCCGGGGACGTCGGAGTTGTGGAACGGAGCAGGTCCCACCCCCGGTTCTCTGGTGTTGGGACTGTGGGGGACTCCGGAGCTACCGAACTCGACTAGTGGTGTTAGACGAGTTCGGGTGGCGATGTAGTGGGGAGCTGGCTCGTCGTGCTCTCGGTGGGGGTGGGTCGATTTTGGAAAGTTCGGGACTTGGGTTAGACTTCTGTATAGGCCTGTTCGCAGTTTCGGTAGTAGTTCCTGTGCCTCGAATTTTCTTGGGTTGATTGCTCGTTGCTGACTGATGCTCGATATGTTTGGCTAGGGAAGGGCCCTATTTTCGTTTAATAGTTTTTTCGTTTTAGTCTATTTTGAGTCTGTGTTGGTGTTGTTCTACTTGTTTTTAGGTTTGGGTCACTTGGCCCCTGTGAAAGGGATTACTCCGTTGGATTCGTTCCACATTACCTCGTTGGGGGTCGTTCCACATTACCTCGCTGGGGGTCGTTCCACATTTAGGTCTTTGTGTTGTGTTGTTTTTGAGTTTCTTTTCTAGCGTTGCTAGTCGGGTTCTAGGCGGTCTTATGACCTGTCCTCCCAGTTTTTCAGCCGTGGGCTGTTATTATTCAGCTAGGGATTGTGTATTTTGCACATTTGTGCATTTTTGTTATATAATATTCTCTATTGTTTCGTGAAAAAAAAAAAAGTTCATGTGTTTAATATATTTTTAATAAAAAAAATTATAAACACAATTAACCAATAATTACTACATGAAAAATTAATGTTTGAGAGGACTACAAAAAATTGTTATATTACAATGAAAAATTCAAGGGTAAGGTATTCTACTGAAAATTCTAACGAATATATGATAATATTGCTTTCATTGAAAAATTTCATTGGTTATTCCAACATAGTTCAAATTAAAGTACATGAACTTTAGTGGATTTAAATCGTTGGAAAAATTGTCATTGCTATTGTGTAAAAACTCAATGAAAGTTCCATTGGAAAGCTAATTGCAGTAATAGCTCCAAAATAATTTTATATTTGGGGCATTATTTAGTTAATAGAGAAATATATACCATCAAAATAACATGTCATTACAATTTATAAATTATACTTTACATAATTTATCACTTTCTCATTTGTAGTACATTTTAATAAATCTATACAGTCACAATAAGATAAAATATATTTAAGAAACCAAAAGACATGATTTTCTCAATTAAACATTAGAAAATCGTTATATTCTTGTTGTAATTTTCATTGGAATTTTCTTATTTTCTTGTAGTAAAAGTAGGACTCCAAATCTATAAAAAGAAAATTGCATTATATAATATTGTGTACAACTATTATTTTGAAAATTTTTGATATGATAGAAAATATAGCACATTCAATGTAATTAGCATTTAATTTAT